GACAACGAGGTCCCCTACCCCAAAAAATGTTTTTACCATACATGTAAATGTAACGTTCAATAAGTAAAATAAAATTCAGACAAAAAGAAGAAAACATGTGATACTTTTTGGGAAAACGAGAAACGTATTAAATGTTCGTGTAGATGAGTAGCAACGGTAGGTGGGTTTACGTCAATAAAAGAAAAATATCACATTTTAAATCAAATTCTAACATTAATGAGACATGGAAAAAAATCACTTTCTAACACAAGTTTAAAATATATAAAGGAATAAATCATCATTTTGTTTTATTTCATTCAATCTAAAGAAAGTAACATGGATGAATCCTCCTAGAATAGATCCTCAATTTCTCAATTTTTATAGTTTAGCGCTATCCACATTATTTTATTTTATAAAATTCCACTTAAAAACATTTAGGGTCAATTGGTTACTTCCTCAATTAATAATTTTTTTTTTGGGTTATAGGGCCAATTAATCCAAAATATTATCTATATCTATGAATTAAAATTCATGCACCAGTTAACCTAATTCATGTTAGCAAAAATAAATTAAAGCAAATCATTTTTTATTTTGAAATTCCAGAAAATAACATAAAAATATCGAATAAAACATTTCATACATTTCAAAATTTTACTAAATGTCTGTCAAAAAGTTCCTTTCAATCCCTACCTCATAGACTCATATACTAGTATATTTGCATGAAAGAGTATTAATGTAACAACTACCATGCATGATTTTTATAAAAGAAGAAGACACTAATTAGAACGAAGGTGGTGGAGATATATTACGAGAACAGAGTGAAGGATCCGGCGTGACGACGCCGCAAACTCCGGGAAGTTTAAGAGCCTTTGCTTTATCAATCTTGATTCCGTACTGAGCCGCCATGTCTCCAGCGAGGAGATAACAGAGGCATTGCGGCGAGCTATCCACCAGCCCCGCAAGCTCCGGGCAACACGCCTTGTCCGGCTTGGCCGCACCACCGCCTTCTCCGACCTGAACGTACGAGAGACAGTCCGTCATGTTCAACAGATTCGTCATGCAATCCGGCGATCCTGATGAAGGAGACGGACTCATCTGACCTGACACGTGTCCTGTTACCGACACTGCGATCAGTATAGCCGCGATTACTGCAA